CCGGGCAATGCTCACGCTCTCTCACCGCGAAGCCCCGAGCCCGGGGGCGGCTCTGGCTGCGGGACCCCGGGTCGGGCCCCACCAGCCACAGGGACCGCTGTTCCAGGCAGGGCTCCCGGGGCCTCCTGCAGCCTGACAGGGAGATGCAGCAGGACGCAAAGCAAGTGAGGGGGACTCTCCCAGGCCTAGGGCGGTCCCTGCCAGCCCTGCTCACACACAGAGGAGCCTGCCCTGGGGGCCGGGTTTGCACCCCCTGGCCTTGGCCCTCAGCCTGGCTCCCCTCCACCAAAGACAGCTGTTTGGCTCCCTCTAGAGGTGGAATGTTGGTGTTCGGGGGACACTGTCCCCCTTCTCCCTAAGAACTAACGCGCTTCCTCAGGGCCTGGGGGCCTGACTGCACGCAAAGGCAGGGCTGGTCACGTCGCTGCACCGAGATCAAAGAAAGCGGGATTTGGAGTCGGACAGACCTGGCCGCCAGGCCGTGTGACAGCAAATCAGTTCATCTCGGAGCCTCAGTCTCCACGTCTGTCAAATGGGGGCGTGTGAGTCAGGTCTGCTGTGAGCGTGACGGGAGATGGCCGGGGCCTGCTAGCTCCTGCCCCTCGGAGGGCAGTGCGGGCTCCTCCGTCCCTGCATCTGAGATGGGACTACCGGCTGTGTGCTCAGACCACCGTCTTACCTTCTCGCCGCGCTCCCCGTCTTTCCCAGGGGGGCCTCTGATCCCAGGGGGGCCCTGGATAAAGAAAGGTTAGTCTGCTGTGAGCGTGACGGGAGATGGCCGGGGCCTGCTAGCTCCTGCCCCTCGGAGGGCAGTGCGGGCTCCTCCGTCCCTGCATCTGAGATGGGACTACCGGCTGTGTGCTCAGACCACCGTCTTACCTTCTCGCCGCGCTCCCCGTCTTTCCCAGGGGGGCCTCTGATCCCAGGGGGGCCCTGGAGAAAGAAAGGTTGACATGGTGGCCGCCAGAGAAGGGGGACCAGGCCCCTTTGTAGTCAGGGACCACAGCTCTGTCCCCATGGGTCCCCATTCCTGACTTAACTCCCCGGAGGCCTGGAGCCGCCCCGCCCAGCCCACCACCGCGCGGGTCCTGCTCTGCTCAAGCGCCTGATCCATGCACCCCAGCACGCCCCACGTGTAGACAGGGCTGCTGATGCTCTGCCCCCCAGGCTATGGCTCCCAGAGGGCGGGGTGGGGGCTGGCTCAGGGGACACAGGGAGGAGGAGGAGGACCTGAGGACAGGCCGGCCAGGAGACCTGCTCCAGCTGTGTGACCGGAGCGCCCAGAGGGTGACTTTGAGAGAAGGCTCAGGGCAAGTGTTCAGGGAATGCACCCGGGATGGAGGGGCGAGGGGCAGCCAGCACTCAGTGGCGCCCAGGCCCCGGGAGCTGGCGTGGAGGTGGCATCTACAACCCATCGGTCAGGGCTGCTCCTGGTCAGCTGGGGCCGCGTGCCGTGTGGCTGGACAAGGCGGTCGCTAAAAGCCAGGGAACCCCAGCAAAGGGGTGCGGCTCCTGGAAGCGGGTGGTGCACCAGGAAGCAGGCAGGCTGGGGTGATCCAGGCCACGTCCTGGGAGCTGCTACAGCAACCGCTAAGGACGGACTCAGCCTCCGGTGCCTCGGTTTCCTCCGGTGCAAACGGGGCAGTGGCCAGATCCCCCCCCGGGTGGGGAGGGCTAACAAGTCCGCACGTGTGGTGCTCAGAACCCAGCCTGGCCCGTCAACGCCCGCCTCTGTCCTCTAAACCAGCGGTCACCAGCCCCTGCTCCGTGCACCCTGGTGGTCTGTGAGGTCTGAGAGGCTGGTGACCGCTGCTCTAAGCAGCCACGGTCATTCAGGGCCAAGGCTCATCCCCTCCAGGAGCGCCGCTCTGTGGCCCTCGAGTCGGGCCCCTGGGTGTTTCATGGCAGGAAAGGGAACGTGGTGCCTGCGTGGAGTTTAAGCGAATCCCTCAGCAGAGCCTGGGCGGGCAGGTGTGAAAGGTGAACCAGCGCCACCCGCTCCTCCACTTGGGAGATGAAAAAGCGGAGGCCTTCCAGGCCCTGCCCCGGCCCCGATTACTCACCACACTTCCTGGGGGGCCACTGGGACCCGGGGGACCTATGGGACCAGGAGCGCCCTGTTCAGAAGCAGAAGCAGTTTAGACAGGCCCGGTGTACCCATAACAGTAGCTACCCCCATCTCTCTCCAAACCCGCCTGCACTCAGGTCCCCAGGATTTGCTGGGACTCCGTGTAGCCCGAGATTTCCCTCCACGGTCAGAGGAGCCTCCTTCTGTCTGAGCGTTCTAGCACCCCAATGAGCTGAACCCCAAAGGTGTGGGACCCTGGCACCGAGGTGGGACGGGGGTGGGCAGGACTCTGGGAGGTTCCCTGGGGCACAGAGGTGGGCTGTGTGTGCTTGTGTGCATGTTGGCTTTGGTGAATCAGGGAATGCTTCCTGAAGGAAGTGGACTTGCCCTCGGCATTGAAGGCCGGGCACAGCCTCCAGGGGAGGTGTGTGAGGCTGTTCCGGGTGGGTGAACACTGTGGGGTGGGAAGCCGGGGGCTCTGGAGGTATGGAGGCCATTCCCTGCGGGCCTTGGACTTCTGCTTCCTCCAGGCTGTAGGGCCCAGTGCTGCCTCTCCAACAGGGAGGAGCTGCCACCGGCCCCTCCGACTAGTCCCTGCCCGTGGCCAACCCTGCTCCCACGAGGCCACCTGCACGACAGCCTGGTCATGCAAACACTTTACAGCTGGACATCGGGCCCGGGAGCGAGGGGACAGCTGCCTGCGGCTCTCGTGCCTCCACTGCCCCCGGGAGACAGGCGGGAGGCGCCTCATCCCGCCTCCCACGGGAAGCACGAGCACGGCCCGGGAGACAGAACTGTAGTCGGCCAGGGGACAAGTGCCAACCCTCTGAGGCTCCGGCCCCAGGCGGGCAGGCACAACAGGAGCATCCGAGGCGTGTGTATGGAGGCATGTACATGGAGGCATGTGTATGGAGGCGTGTGCATGGAAACGTGTGCATGGAGGTGTGTCTGTGCTCATGGCTGCATCTGCATGTCGGGCATTTATACGCACAAGTGCACCGCAGTGTGTGCACCGGATTTTAGAATGTATGTGTGTGAAGTGCACACAAGCACATGTCAGGGCCACGCCATCTGGGAGTGGTGTCTGTGTGCATCACCAAGTGCGTGGAAGGAGGACGGGCACCAAGTGCATGGAAGGTGGACACACAGAACTGTAGTCGGCCAGGGGACAAGTGCCAACCCCTCTGAGGCTCCGGCCCCAGGCGGGGCAGGCACAACAGGAGCGTTCGAGGCGTGTGCATGGAGGCATGTGCATGGAGGCGTGTGCATGGAGGCGTGTGCATGGAGGCATGTGCATGGAAGCCTGTGCATGGAAGCGTGGGCATGGAGGTGTGTCTATATGCTCATGGCTGCGTCTGCATGTCGGGCATTTATACGCACAAGTGCATCGCAGTGTGTGCACCGGATTTTAGAATGTACATGTGTGATGTGCACATGTCAGAGCCACGCCCATCTGGGAGTGGTGTCTGTGTGCATCACCGAGTGCATGGAAGGAGGACGGGCACGTGGACACATGGGCCCTGAAACGCTGGGTGTAGGGAGGCAGCCCCTCCCTGTGGATGGCGTGCTCTCCCCCCCTCCCCCCGCCACCCAGACTGAGCCCA